TGTGCAATAATTCATTTTCAAAACAGTCACAGAGTTGTGTCTCAAAATACTGAGTCCAGTTCCAGTCACGAACTGGTCTTCAGTGGACAGCCCAGTGAGATTCTACTTCAACAGTTTTTTTCTAACAAAAAGATCTGAACTATGGTTTTGAGCTGAATTAACCAAAATACTTACACTGCACTCAGACATTTGTGCAAACTTAACCTGGGTGCCATGTTTCCAAGTCCTTATGAGCTGGTGACACATTTTATCAATCCAGTGGCTCGCCTGTAGGCCCCGCCCCCCACACTCATGCAAACACACAGAGATAAAAAGAGTGGCTGATTTAATTAGCTCACTTATTAAATGAAGCTTAATTAGTCACTTTCCTTCAGAGAGAAGTTTGATACTTTACGCCGTTTATTGTCATTACGGCGACATGATGAGCCGCGCAGCACAAAACGCCACGATAGAAAAGTTTCCCGGCACATTAGCACAGCGAGGAAACCAACGTTTAATCCCATGGAAGTACCAGAACAGAGAGAAGCTTTGCTGAGAAGTGACATAATTATAGTCTGCTATTTAACACTCATTAAAGAAATGAGCAACAGCACACCCTCGCTAAAGTTTGATAAGGGTTTGAAATTAAAGGAACTATTTCTCGTCCCCAGACCATCCATAAAGCCTTTGATGTTTTATAACAAGTCTGTCCCAATCCGTCCATCTTTTCCACGAGTCTCTTAATGTAAAATCCACCTGCTTGTTATAGCTGGCAGGCTGATAAGAAGTGATGCTTGTGAGTGTCCCCGGGGTGTGATTGGGAGGTAAATATTAGCAGGCCCTCAGCGTCACCCCACACCAGTAAAACAAACCACTGTCCTCTCATAAAGGAATCAACAGAGTCAATGACTTTTTAAATGTTATTATGCTGTCATGAGGTTTGAGATAGGTATGTGCATACAAAATGAGTGAAAAATCATCTGGAGAGAATGTGTGTGTATGTGTTTGTGTGCATACACACACAATCGCCCTGTTCATTATTGGCCAGCAGCAGAAGCCAGTCATTTCCCCGTCTTCATAAAGACCTGGCCCATTAAATTCTACCTCCAGTCAATAATTAGGACTCCACAAATAAACCAAAGGCAATTAAATCAATGCTTCCTCGGGCCAGTGCATGGATCCCATGGCCCACATGGACACTCCATCTTCACCGCTGGCCTTATTCATGGAGGTGGGCCGTGCAGCCACACAGTGCACCCCCTGGCCTGCTCATCATTATTAAGGAGCACTGTCCCTTGATCTTAGCTGTGGAGACCTGTTTATGGTGGCTCTCTCCTGACAAGCATGGGGTTCGATTTCATTAACTCATCAGTACAAGCGAGGCTGGAACAAATGAACACGATGTTTCCTTTCGTTTTGAGTGAACATGGTGAGGAAGACGACTGCAGAAAGCTCCGGCTCTTACTTTGCATTAAAGAAGCTGCAAAGGTCTTCATCCACAGTTACCTCGACATCTGCAGCATCCAGGTGGCCGGCGTCAGGAAGGTCTCTTCTTGTTATGTTCACGTGGCAGTGAATGACAGTGACGGTTAACAACACACGCACGCACGCACGCACGCACGCACGCACGCACACACACACACACACACACTGACTGATGGGCTCGCTGCTGACAGGGCCACGGAGATAATAAAGTGCTGTCCCCCTGGCAGCTCCATTAGACACTGACAGTGACAAGAAGGGACCGCTGCGACAAGCGCACGCACGCACGCGCACACACACCCTGATGTAGTGACAGCTCAGCTCGTTAAGAACACGGATCTCTCATCTTTCACTATTTCTGTTCTTTAAATCCAGCTGTGGATACGATCACATCACTGTTGGGAACGTGCATTATTAGTGCCACGTGCACGTGACGGGCTCTCTCCGGTTCATACGTGGTCTTCTTGGTGAGCTTTTCTTTTACGAGCCATCACAGAGAGCAGGTAAGCTCAGGTGGAGCAGTGTGAGAGTGTAAACATGGTGACGCCGTCTTCAACTTAAAAACATAACGTGTAGAGGTCAACGTGAGCAGGAGACACGAGAACTTTAAAACGTGTCTTGGACCTAACGTGACAGTTGACCCCCCCACAAAACAAGTATGAAATGAGACACAGACGGAGCTCGGTGACCACCTGATGTTACAACATGTTGTTGAAAGTGTAAAACAGGAAGAATGAAACTGGGTGAACACAAAGAAAAACAGAACAAGATGGACTTGAAAGGGGATAGAAAAAGTCTGATTCCGTGAAGGGGAAGACTGTGGTGGTCCCAGCGGCCCCCACAGGGACCTGGGGGCAAGTCTCAGCCTTGTCATACTCGACTCTTCTCCTCCACTCAGCACCCCCCCCCGCTCTGCCCACAGAAAACGTCGATAGCAGGCTGCCGTTGCTGAGGTCTCTGGTGAACACTAGCTCATTCTCCCGGCATCGACAGGCCCGCCAAATCAATATTTAGTTCCCCACTAACAAGCTGCCTCGGGGTCTGAGCCAGAGAGAGAGAGCTGCGTGGAACGCTGCAGGACTGCAGGGAAACTCAGAGCAGGGACTGAGAGCTGTCCAGCTAGAAGGGAAACGCATGGATCCAGTGGAGTGCTGCGTGTATGCAACGGTGTAGGAGGGGGGCGGCGGGTGTAAAGGTCAGGAGAAGATCTGGGGAACAAGAGAACAGTGTCTGGTGTGTGTCGTGGTGCGGAGGCGACGCACGAGTGCCTGCAGCTGCTGCTGACACACACACACACACTCGATCATACTGGTATCACAGCGAACAGACGTTGACAGAGCTCAAGCGAAGCTCCAGCGGAGAACTCACAGATGAGTGGCTGTGAGCGTACAAAGGCTTCCACAGTGAGGATGTACTCTCCAGTCTGCGTTTTATCTTTTGAATCACTGCTTTTCATTGTTTCTCAGCCTGCAGCAGGATCATTGGGGTCCAAACTCAAATTCATATTATATTTACTGGATTTGCATGAACCTGGTGCCCCAATTTCTTTTTGCACTCCAAACTTACAAAGCAGCTTATTTACTACAGCAGGCATGTATTTACAGAAACGTCTCTAAGACAAAGCTGCCGAACAACCGAGCATCATAAATATTTTAGCAATATGTAGGCATTTACTGTTTTTAAAAGCAAGTCCAGCTGTGTTACCCATGTCACATTACCGATTTAGAAAAATCAAACTTCCTGTTTTCCTCTTGAGCAGAAATACAGTCACTGTTCAACATAATTAAAGAATAACCACGTTTATTATTGAAAGTACCCAAATCATACAATCTGTAAGATAATTATTTTTGCATAATGAAAAAGTTCTTAGCAAGTAGTACTTGCTTGTTGTAATATTATTCATAGTTATTCTGAATCAGTTAACGTGCATTTTATTTTATAATGTCATTCATTCAACCGTTATTTATCAGCTTCATCCCACTGAGCCTCGGGGACTCATTTACGAGAGAGACCTGGTGACCTTGTCGTCTGCGTTTCACATGAACGCAGTAGTTCTTCTGTGGTGTCCAGAAAAGCTGGACACCTTAAAAAGGTATGGCACCCAGTGTTTGTATCTGCCAGCACAACATTAGAATAATAAAAAGTTTATACATCTCTGTGTGTGCGTGCGTGTATATATATATATATATATATATATATATATTCATTTATTTTTTCAAGCAAGGCCTTAACTGGCAAATATGGTACTCAAAAATCCAACTTTTTTAGGAACTGGAATGCATCATAGCATCTAATGTTTGATAACATCTAATAACATGCAATAATATGTATTAACATATAATAGCTTGTAATAACGTGTAATATCATGTAATAATGTGTAATAACATGTAACAACTAATAGCTTGTATGAAGTAATAACATAATAGCTTGTATTAACATGTATTAACAAATAACTTGTAAAACATGTAATAACAAGTAATAACATGTAATAGCGTGTAATAATGTGTAATAACATGTAACAACTAATAGCGTGTATTAACATGTAATAACATATAAAAGCTTGTATTAACATGTAATGACAATATGTTATAAGATGTAATATGTAATAGCGTGCAATAACATGTAATAACTAATAGCTTGTAATAACATGTAATAGCTTGTAATAACATGTAACAACATGTATTAGCCTGTCTTGTATGGAAGTTTTAACTGAGTGAAGAAAAATAAGCGTTATTCATAACAACAAATGACAAAAGGTATAAAAGGCTACAAAAATTATTGTTTTCATATCAAGATATGACTGCTATTCACTTTATGACTAAAACCAACAAAGTCCATGCTCAATAATCCAGGTATACAATCCAACAATTTTCAGTCAGGTCATCTGGACAGTTTCTTTATTTTTTCTGAAACGTTTCACCTTCCATCCAGAAGGCTTCATCAGTCAAGGAAACACAACAAAACTGATTTTTCCACAAACAGCTTACTCCAAAGTGGAACAAACCGGATGGAAGGTGAAACGTTTCAGAAAAAAAAAAAACTGTCCAGATGACCTGACTGAAAATTGTTGGTTTATGACTAAAAGTTTTTTTGTTTGACTATTTATGGTACAAAATTGCAATACTTGGTCATTTTAAATTCTCTCATTTCATTACTGTAATATATGTAGGGGTATTTATTGGTGCTCCGTGTGATTGATGAATTATTCCAATATTTATAGAGGAAAAGGTGATTTATGATCGGTGCCAAAGATGGTATCAACAAGTGCTTTACAAAAATCAGCATAAACAAATAAACAGACCAACATTCATTTCTAGTGAGATCCAGCTGAAAAACAGACTTGTCCTCTTTAATAAGAGTTAAAATATTTAGATGTTAAAATGAGTTGGAGAATATGAACCAGTATCACAGATTATTACAGATGTCTCATGGCAGTAACAATCTGTGAGAGTATGAAAATGATGAGTAACTGATGTCAGTATTACTGCATGTGTGTGAAACTGACCTGCTGCTGAAGAATGAGGTTTAGGTGGTCCAACCATTTCTGGTCTCTGGGACTGTCTCTGCAAGCTGCTGTCCCCTGGAAAAACAAACGCATTGCTAATATCACTAATAACTGCAGATACAAACTATACGTCTAACGGGAAACCATTTAACAGTTCATCGTTCCGGTTCACAGATTTAAAAGGAGAAACATCAACACAAACACGTTCTACAGGTGAAGCTTCCTTACGTTAGCATCTGTCATGAGCCAACGTAAACCAGTGAGACAAACAGAACCAGCAGAACCAGCTCATCAATAGGCGAAGTCATAACGGACTACAAAGATTTATCCTGCTGCCTTACAGGACATCACTGGTCCAACTTTTTCATTATGACCCAAACAAAAGATCAACGTTTGGACAAATTAATTCTCTCATGACTGATTAAAATGAGAACTTTGTATCTCCAATTATTCCCAAACACGAGGTCAGAGCCCTGCTGCGGGTCACACACAGACAGACACACAGACAGACACACAGACAGACACACAGACA